TAGTGACGGGTGGGGATCAGGTAATCGGATGTCGAGAGGATGCCGCAGCTGTGGCAGTAGCAGTAGCAGTGCGTAGAGTCATTGGCGGGGCAAATCGAAGTTGCCGTGACGCTCTTGAGGGAAAGCTCGGCACCCGGAAGTACGTACTGGGCTGTCCATACGGCTGGAATTATCACGTGACCCGGTCGGTCGCCTCCGTCGGTGCCTGTCACGACTCCAGGTCTCTTGCGTGCATCGATTGAGTTGTTTCGTTTGACGTGCAGTACACCTGTGCCTGGCACCTGACGCGTTGGCTTGACGCGACGAATCAAAACGGCGTGTCAAGTCACAAGTTACTCCATTGGACTTTACTATGGTAGGCACTTATTAATCTCTCTTCTGTGGTAACGACTTCATCCATAACGTCAGTCAGCAGCAGGAGATAGCCTCCCCAAGTCACATGCCTCACCAGTAGTCAGTCACCAGTGTTCAGTACCTCATTGTATTGGCTCAATTGATCATATGCAAATTAGGCTCGAACGAGGTATTATGGTACAGGATAGTCCGATGCAGATGAGCCGTGTGAAGTACCAACAAAAGGAGCAAAACTGAAAGAGGCGGCAGCCCACATCACCCTCAATTAATTCTAGAGGCCAACAGAAATGGCCGTACTTCCAACCTCGTCGACATACAGCTGCCATGCCTCATTCTACCTCTCGAGCTCTTGCACATGCAAAGTGGACCAGGGGAATCATAGAAACGACAAACAACCCAAATACGCAGCACCCGACAAGAAAATCCACAAGAGCCGAGGCGAAAGACGATGCCTCCCATCCACATACATCCTAACGGCGAACATCATCATCATTATGCCGCTTATTTGCTGTGCACCTTGGCCTTGAGCTTGCCGATGAAGGCACTCAGGCGGTTCTTCTTCTTCTTCTCGGTGCCCGAAGGGCTCTCGGTGGCCTTTGTATTGCTTGGTGTCGTTGACTCGGGAACGGAGGACGGGGCCTTGGCAGGGGTGGTGGGAACTTCGGGCTCCTTGGTGGAGGTGAGGCTGGCGCCGTTGGCACCGTTGGCGGTTGTGTGAACACCGTTGGCACCGTTAGCCTCCTTTGTAGAGTCATCCTTGGTGACAGCAGCCTTAACCTCCTCCTTAGCGAGCTTAGCCTCCTCCTTGACGGCCTCAGTCTTGGTCTTCTCGCCCTCCTTGACTTCTTCCTTGGTCTCCTTGACTTCCTCCTTGGCAGCCTCAACCTTGGGCTTCTCGGCCTCGACCTTGGTCTCCTCACCGACGGCGGGGATAGGCTTGACCTCCTTGAGGAGCTCAGCCTCGACCTCCTTCTTCTCGATGACACCCTCGGTGTTGGCGGCAGCCTCGGGGCTCTTGCCGGCCTCGGCGATAGACTCCTTGACGACGGTGGGAACCTCGGGAGCGACCTCCTCACGGGTCTCCTCCTTGGTCTGACCGCCGATGGCCTCCTGAACGCTCACAGGCAGGCTCTCCTTGACGGGCTCGGGGAGCTGAGCAGCGGCGTCAGTGGCGGCAACGGTAGCCTGCTCAACGTGAGGAGCAGCAGCCTCGACGACAGTGTCCTTGGCGTTGATGGCGGCGGCAGCGGCGAGACCACCAATAGTGGCAGCGGTGGCAACGACGACGCCAGCGGCCTCAGTCTTCTGAGTGCCGAATCCGGCGGTGCCCTCAGAAGTCGAGGGAGCGGTGGGGACCTTCTCGAGGAGCTCGTCCTCAACAACGGCTTTCTCCTGGACGGCCTCGGGGTTTGCGCTGGCCTCAGGCTCGGCGTGGGCCTTCTCTTGGCTCTCCTTGACAATTTCGGGAACCTCGGCAGTCTTGGTCTCGAGAGGAACCTCGGCGGCCAGAGCAGCGGTGGTGGATGTGGGTGCGGCGCTGTTGATGGTGGCATCCGCGGTCGCAATGGGCAAGCTGGACTCGGGGATCGTGTTGCTGGTAACCTCAGGGACGGTGGTCTCCTCCTTGGAGAGGCCGGGCAGAGCGCTAGAGTCCTCATAACCCTCCTTGTCAAGCTTGACGTGCTCGTTGATATCGCCAGCCTTGACAGACGCGGGGAGGGGTTCGCCAGGTGCGACGGTTACGGGCTCAGCGGTAACATCTTGGGCGGGGATAGGGTTCACACCAATGAACTTGTCAAGCTCGTTGGCGGGGGTGACGGGGAAGCCGCCGGGAATGTCGGAGGGGGTAGCCTGGGGGAGCTCCTCCTTGTTCTCGAGAGGCACGTCCTTAGCCAAGGCGGCGGTGGTAGATTCGGGAGTAACAGTGTTCATGACTGCGGCGGTGGTATCCTCCTTAACGATTTGATCGGGGGTGAGAAAGTTGTTTACGTTGCCCTCGTGATCAGGTTCTTGAGGGGCAGTGTGGTCTGTGATCCAGTTGTTGTCGACGACAAACTATAGAGGGGGGAGAGAAAGCAAGTCAGTAAAAATTGTCAACAATGACGATGTTTTTGAGCGAAATCCGGTGGGCAGCACAGCGGTGGTGTAATGGGTCCCTTGGGGGGCAGATATGACGACGCGCGGCGAACCAAATGTGGGAGATCAGTTGGGAGCGCGATCTGGGTGTCCCCGATGGTTATAAAGGCCAGGTGAGGAAAGATAGCCCGTATCCGCCAGAACAAGAATCCAGGCAAATTGGAAGGCGGTGGTGGTTCCTGGCGCTGTGCGCTGCCGCTTGTTCCTTGGCCGCGGGCATGGCTGTTGGTTCCTGGCCTGGGCTGGCACGGCTGGGTGGTGGTGACCTTGGTGGTGCTTGTCCTTGTGTACCCTGGGGTGCCTTGGGGTGTATCCAGGTGAGTGTGCCGTGTTTGGTGGCACCTAGTCTGGAAGGCTAGCCCCGAAGTTGCTAGACATTTTGGCACATTGTTGTGTGATGAAAGGTGCCATGGTCCTTGGTGGCTGCTGGTGCTGGATCCTGCCGCTCTCCGGTGTCTCTCTTCTTTCTTGCGTTGCAATTTGCGAAAAGGCCACACGCAGCTGCGAACGCGACCATGCTCGCATGGGGGACCCTGGTCAAGATTGACGCTCTTTTCGCTCCCCACAGAATACAAAAGGAGCAATGAACCTGGAAAACCTTGTTCATTGCTTTTTTGGACCTGTGGAAAAGCGGAGCCCCCAACCCGCCGCTCTGCTCGGGATCCGCCAGCCAATCTTGCCAATTGCCCACCTGGAGCCACCGTCAAGCGTCAAGACTCAAGGCAACCACGCCGCTGCTGTGCTTCTGCCGCAGTAAGCTGCTGCAAGAACTGGTGGGTTTGCGTCATTCGGAGCCGGGATAATTCGGCCAGCAACAACCAGCCTCCGAGACCCGCGTATGACTCTTCTTTTTCTTTCTCCAATTTACCCATTACAGCCATGTGCAGCTCCAGTCTGGGATATGTTTTGCAGCCCCGACTGCGCAGGCAATACGCCGGGGAAAAGCAGACAGAGCAGAAAACCCCAACGGGAAAGCAGCGGCGTTAGCGCGAAATAAGCCGACAAAACAATGTGGCCGTAGGGGCAATAGCGAGAAGAGTCGAGAGAAGACCGAAAAAGACCCCAGCAGAATTTGTGTGGCTCAGCGGAGCGCGAAGCAAATTGCGTGAGGGCCAGGGGCCTGGACACGCCAAATTGCGAGATGGTGATAAAAGCCCGATCCTATGACGAGCCGCAACCGAGCTGTGTGGCCTGCAGCTGACGGGGAAGCTGGAACCAGAGCTGCCCTGGAGCTGGGGAGAAGCTTCCACCAGTAAATGGCCTGGCAGCCCAGCGCTTCCCTTCTTCCCCCTCCAAGACGGGGGAACAGCGATTGCGATTGATGGGACAAGGGACCTGGATGGGCGCACGGATGCTGTCGCGGGCTGAGCGATGCGGCGTTGCTGCTTTCGATCGGAGCCCTTGTTCGCGGTCTCATCCAACCCTCTATCGACTCCGCCTCCTGTGCTGCTGGTGCTGCTGGTACTGCTGTCGTCGCTGCCCCTCCAGCTTCGAGAGGGTTCCCAACAATTGCGCGCCGTGATAAGGGATTCCGGAGTTGCCGTCGTGTTCGAAAAATCCGGGTGGGATGGACCAATAGTTACGGGTACAAGAGAAAGCGCCTGAATTGGCCGGTACGAACCTTATAGTAGATCTTTTCCGATGCGTCGGCGAGTGTGACGGTCTTCTCGAAAGAGCTGCCGACCTTTTCCAACTTCTCGCTCTTAGTCCAGTTGTCGAAAGTGCCGGTAACGTAGACCTCCTCGGCCGGGTGAGCCCTATAGTGGGACGCAAAAGTTAGCAAGGTTTTTGATCCAACTGGGAGGCTTGCTTTTTCGCTGGAGACGATGCGAACGGTGCCAATGGTGGTGAGGTCGCCGCGGACGGGGCCTAAGGACCATGTGAAAGAAAGTTTGCATTCTACATGTCCTTTGACGAAAGCATGCAAGCCAACCGCCGTTTCCAAGCGCCGGACGGTAGAGAAGCAATGCAAGGAGGGGCATTGGGATTCCGTCGCATTCCAGTAGTGATTTCCATGTAAGGGTATTGAGACTCAGAGTCTAGAGAGAGATGGGCTGGCGGGGAGGGGGAAATGCGGGCGGAGTCGATGAGCATACCAGGTAAACTTGTAAGTGCCCATTGTGATAGATGTGAGGGCTGCTTCTTTTCGAAAGAGGGGCAATTAGAATTACTCGGTTCGGAGCGAGTGCCTCGTCGTCGGCAGGAACAATGTGAAAGAAAGGGCAGGTGAGGATTCGAGATTCGAACAACAGGAAGAAGGTAGGAAGGAGAAGTTTGTTGGAAAAAAAGAGGAAGAAAAAGATGAGAGACGAGAATTGAGCGGCGGGAACCCCCAAAAATTATTGCGCGCGAGTGGCAGAGAAATAATTGCTGGGGTCGGGGGTGTGGGAAGGTGGGCGGCGCAAAAGTCGTCCGTCGTCTACGCACCTCAGTGTAAGAGGAGTGGTACACTATCTGAGGTGTGTAATCACTGGTGTGTGTGTGTGTGTGTGTGTGTGTGACTTGTGTGACTACCTCTGAAGTGTGAGGTGTATTGGTTTGAAGGTGGTTGCTGGCGCAGATGGTCCCGGCCCAATTTGACTTGACCTGAACTGACGGTGACGGGACCGTCCCTGGTTCGGCGACGCCAGCGTCCAACGTCGCGCTGGGCTGGGCTGCGATGTGCTCCAAGCAAGCTGGGCTGAGTGTACATAGTGAGTCGGGTGTGTGTGAGGTGCGTGGAATCTGCGGACCGTGGACGGCGGTCTGGACGCAGTGAACGAACGGTCTGAGGTGGTCCAGTCTGCAACCTTGAACTCCGTCTGCGCGCAGGCTTGGGCGCGGGCTCCACCATCAGACGTCCGCGGTGCAGTGTGAGTGTGCTTGCTCATCAGCGGTGTGTCTCTGAATTATGACGACAACCGCATCGGTCTAGGCGCTTACACCTAGTCCAACGGCCCAACGATGCCAATGATGTAGGCCGGTGTATTGGTCCCTTTTTTGCTTGTCGGTCAGTCGGTGAGTGAGTGAGAGTGGGCGGGCATTCATTCCCTGGGTTCTTCAACAATTCATGTCTCTGGATGATGTTCTCTCCCGAGAGAGTCATCGTCCACCACCGTACTTCGGTCAAGACATGGACTTTTCTACAGCTCATGTCTCTGCACGAACAGACAATTGGCATTGGGTTCAAAGCGAACCGTAACATGTGACTTGAGCTTTAATGACATGTCCCGAAATATCCCAAAAGTTCCGAGGGCCCGACTACGTTAGTCTCAAGGAAGGGTCGAGAAGGTGAGGCTTTGCCGTCACAGCGTCGCAGTGTCACAGAATGGGACAAGCGCAGCAGCACCTTCCCTCCTCAGCGAACTCTGAATCAGCAAGGACCAGCCAGACATTGTATGAATTGTCATCGGAAGGAACACCCAGAGTAAGATACTCAGTCGTACCTGCCTGCCGACCTCAAGATAAGGTACCTCACGTACTTTATCAGGCAATCACGTACTTACCCTCATTATTCATGAGAGGCAAGAATTACGATCCGCTCGTGCTACCCACGTTCTTTGCTGCACCCTCTGCGGAGTACTGTACATATTGACAAGAACTTTGGGGAAACATACGAGGTTAATGGAAGCAGGTGAGCCTGAAGAACCCCCGCTATGACTGCACCTCACCTCACTCCATGTATGTGAACCCAAAGATCTCAAGTGACTCCCAGCGATGTCGCATCCATCCACAACCACCTCTCCTTGATCCACTCGACGCCAGCAAACCAACACCAAATCCATGATCGCGATTCACAACAAGCACCGACAAAGACAACCTCTAGGCTCTAGCAAGATCTGCAAACTGCAAACTCCTCAACGCCCAGCCTCCCTTTCTTCTCCTCCTCGAAACATCCCCTGCGCTTCACGTTGTCTCCTCATAGTCTTCACCGTTTCTTGCTTGGCCTTGCCTCGCCTCGCCTCGCGTTACCGCACCTTACCCTACCTTACCGCCGTACCTGAGCTACACCCTGTGCTAACGCAGACGCGACAGGCCAGGAATATCTCCGTCTGGTGTGTGCTTCAGACGTGGGATGAAGCTAGGCTTGCAACTAATTTCGAATACCACCTACTATTCCGACACTACCGCACCATACACTCCCAGATACGACACGCCAACATCGTTCTCGCCGTGTTTGTGGAGCCGCCCATTCTTTGCAACTTGCCCGAGCCGCTTCCTCTCTGAATCGAGTACCTCTTTACTCAGGGGGCATTGCACCTAGAGTCTTCTCGTTTCCTTGCCAGCTTTTCTCTGCAACCCTTCTACGCCCCGGTGCCACCAAGGGTTTGATTTCCGCACCGAGTTCAACGCCGATGCGACACTGGGAACTCTACAAGTACGTCGGACTTGCATGGTCGGAATCCTGTGCACCCAGGCCAGCCTCCAACCTCCCCTCACCGGGCGGGTCCTTTGGTGCACCTTAAACCTCGCCAATTGCTTCCCTTCTTACCTTATCTCTAGCTTCAATGCTGGGCTGCAAGAATTGTCTTATGACAAGCCACGGCAATCCGGCCTGAACATTGTCTTCGACCAAACAGTCGCGCCAATTGCAGACAATATGATCTGACTCCGAAGAATCGCCCCTCTCCCCTGAATCTTCCAGCCACCCAGCCACCCCCGGAGGCACTTCACCTGCCATCTCTCAACTAGTATAGACTTTGCCCAAATTATCACTATCCCGCGCGCTCCTGGCACCAATCCAGCCACCGCGCCAGCGCCATGCCTAACTATGTTGCTGCCGTCAGCCGCTGCAGCTACTTCTCTGACACGGTGGTCCGAACCCCTACGCCTTGGAACTGCTGACGCAGCAGACGAGACCTCCGAGGCGAACCTGTGGTGTTCCAATCGCTTCCATTCCCTCACGAGCTGTAACGGTCCAGGTCCCCTTATACTTAATACATCATACTGCTTGCGGGTTCCAGCACACTTGGAGTCGCCTGTTGCTGCCGCCCCTTCAACGCCTCGTACTTCACCAGAGTATATTAGCCCGCACAAATCTAACCCAACTACGCAGTGTAAACCTCCCTAACGTTGCTCTTATTGCAAATCGCGAGTAAGCATCCACGCGGCACTGTCAATTCCCGCTCTCGATTTCACAATCGAATCGAATCTCCCAAGATCTTACCGCGCCAGGAAATTGCGGGGAAGAAAGGGTGGAAGCTCCAGACTCAGACAGGGACGGTTCCCGAACTGAGACAACCCTAGGCCCCTCGCCATAGATTGATGTTCGATCACGCGCCCAATCTTCTCCATAGCCTCAACCACGGACGACGATGACCTGCTTTGCCCCCACTCACAAATTTCTTTCCCGCGTGGGAAATGCCCCAAAACCGCTGCGATAACTGAGCAGATCGCAGGACGCAAGTTTCGGCAATTGCACTACAGTAGAGGCTGCATTCGGGGCCCGGTTGAATCTCGGTGACTTGATGAAGATCGACTCGCCCAGCACACCCTTGCCAACTGCCCGCGTTCGTCACCTCGGGTGTTCAACCGATGTCGCAACATGAACAAACCCAAAGAGGACTGCTCCTGGTGGCACGTTCCCATGGGTTTCCCCGACCTGTCCGCCATACCAAGGTATTGTCAGCACGTTGGAAGAAATCAGACTTCTCGAAACTTGCAAACGTCCGCCACGCCTTCGCGAAACTGCGTGGGCCAGGCCCCTCGAGGTTTCATCAACGTGTGATTTCGTTCTCTCTACGACGGTTTCGCTCTCAGGGGGTGGTTGAGGCGAACAGGTCTCCATTCTCCAGAGTTTAAAAGTCATGAACTCGACGTCAGAGCTCCCGCACGTGTCAATCATCAGATGCAACCTCGTTTCGTTTCGAGCCTCTCGTGCGTTGCATCGTTCCACCCAGAGGCACGTATTTTAGATGGTCGATGCTTGCTTTTTTGCTTAGCTTATACTGTACGCTCTTTGCCTGCCGAGAGTAGCCGTTGCAGTAGTGTTCGTGCGTTGATGTACAAGATTACAAGCAGGTTCTTGACGGCTTGCCTGTGACTCCGCTCAAGGTCAGAGTCATTGACTGCCTTGTGGATTGTGCACCATGCATCGCGAATACACAATAGTAACATGGTGAATTCACTCGAATGGGATACTCGTCGGAATGCGTGGAGTTCAGCTTTGAGACGTAGAACTGCACGCAGAAGTTTGCTTCTATCAATGGCACCGCTCAGATCTTGTTGAAGAATTTATCAATTACAGTCTTGCCCAACTTGGCTTGGGTTCGCTACTGTTCCAGCAAACGAAACTAGATAAAATCAGCTCGGAGTCGTTTCCAGCTACCAGAAGGAGTACCGCTCAAGTGTGTGACTTGGCCATTACGCACACCTCATTTGTTCGCGCCGTCATTATAGACTGTATATGGTATCTGGATTGGATCGAATGAGGTGATTACTCCTACGGCAACCTTGATCCATATCTGTCCTGCCTCCTCCCTGGTATGTATACGTGGATATGTCACGGGGAGAATGGCTTTCAGCTAAACAGTCGGGTATGAGACGAGATGGTAGCGGGTTGAATCTCTGCCGTCTTCATCCACGTGATAATGCCTTCTCAAAGAGGAAGCAACGTCCTCGCTGTGGTGATAAAAGGTTTCCAGTCTCAGGTAGTGCGGTGCTTGATAAGGGCAATAACCGGGCTGGTCATATCGGCTTCGCCACTCGATACCGCGCAGCTCATCTCGTCTCCGAGATTTTCGTTAAGGGCAGACGTCGTGAGAAGCGTGGCCGGATGCATCATGGAAGATTATATCAGGAACGCGTTGTTCACTTGGGCTTCTCGCTTGGTATCTCTCATGTATCCAGTGCCGAATACTTAACTTGAAGGTTAGGGTGCTGGGAGATAATGAGGACTTTGCCCTGCCTACCATTATAACCAAAGAAATGCATGGGCGTGACCCATTAGCGACATCGGCAGCGAGATTCTGAGGTAGGGAATTTCAGAGAATGCCCGCCGCAGAATCTGGTACGATGCAGTTTTTCGAGGTCTGCATCGTTGGAGAGGTGGCATTGACGGATTGGTGCCCAAGCTTTATAATCATCGACCAGAACCCCGTCAATGCCTGCTTGCTTTCCTAGCCGGTCAATTCAAGCCTGTCGGCAGACGGTTGAGCTCATTCGAGGCCGAGTGAGAAGTTGGTTGGATGAGATGGAATGACGGTAGACCTACCATAGGAGAAAGTGGTGAAGTGAAGGTGATGTGACACGATAGTTGTCACCCTCTTCTTTGCATCCAAATATATAACCATGGTATTTTGGAGCTTGGAAGGTTTGAACTGGAAGATCTGCAGAAAGGAGTATAGTGTTCGTTTCGTTAGTGTTTCGATCTTCTAAAGGGGTGACGTTTTTACAATCCCATCCGGATCATGGGTCTCTCAAAAGATCATGGTAAAGACATAGTATAGATGAGAGAGGAGTGAGGAGATCGTCGGTGATCTATGGTTCATCCACAATATGGGGGGTTGCACATCGAGGGATCATGGTCCCCCAAACTCTCCAGCTCCGCGAGGTACAAATGTCGGGTTGAGTCGGCAAGGCCATGTCCGTGACATTCAGTAGAACCAGAAGCCCACTGCCAGATGACAAGGCTGGCCGCTGCAGGTCCGCCTCATGGCTAGTGTATATATATGCCACCACGTGTGTCATATCTAGACCGGCACAGCTTCTTTCTGACATCGGGATAGGTACAGACGCAGCCCAAGTCCCGCTGAAAAGCTTTCAAGGGATAGAAATCAAGCGGTCGGCTCAGCGCGTGATATCTTTCTCATATGTTCTCAAAGCTATGCACCTGTTCTAGAGCTCTCTACTCGCGAGTACATAGCGTACCAAAAGGAGGGCTTCAGGTAGATGTGGGGAGGTATTGACTCCTGGTGAACAGACTCGATCAGAGAGAACGGCGACCGGATTCCAGCCGTGTATTCGGTGCGTCTAAACATGTCTGCACAACCATCCCTCCATAGCACTGCCTCGAACGAGGCATCGCAGCATTTTGATCTCGAGGCAATCCGCTCAGCCTCCAGCACAGGGGCGGAGAACGCACACGAAATCACCCTCATTAGATCCGGATATCCCTCAGTCAAAGCAAGAACCAAAAAGAGTTCACCCCCCCGGTGCCGATGTGGGGGCTACATCTCTTGGTGCTCATGCTGGGATTCGAACTCGGGTACTCGTATGCGCTGAGCCTGTCGTCGAGTAGGCTGGTTGGCGTGAAAGATTGTTGACCATTAACCGTTCCACCACCCACGCCACAGTTTGACCTGACCCCCGACCTAGGGGGCGCCTGCTGTGCTGGTGACAGGAATTGAATTGAGGGGGGGTATATACCCTTAGGCTCCCACCCCGTTGCGTGGAGGGTGCGGATGGGCGGTACCTGCCTGGTTTGTGGTTATGGCGTTGCCAGGGGTGATCACGTACCCATCAAGGTGTTGCACTATAGCCTGATAGCACGATACGGCGGATTAATCACCGGCGCGGATCATGTTGAGGTGTCTTGATACTTCCCATACTGATACCGCGGCTGAATATAAAAGCAGTGCATCTGAGCCAACTGTAGGTTCGTTACATTGACGTGCTTCGTTTTGGAGCCAGCCCCGTTCGGGTCAGCCCTGCCAGGCAAGCCTCTGGCAAGCATCGCGGGTGGTGTCGTCTAAGCGAGAACATCACCCATTTCTAAGTAGGGTAGGTTGCCTTTTTCAAGTTCGGTTTCTCTCTCAGATACACCCTTTACACCGAATTCCCTCTCATTCATTAGAGAAAATTCCCTTTGGAATACATAAGTGAAGTTGCAAGTCAAAGGGCAATGGCATGCTACTCGAAATGCCTTTTTTGTCTTGCCATCTCAAGACTCGCGGATACCTACGAAGTAAAATTATTCATCACTGCAGACGAATCTCTTCCCATCTCACTTCATACAATCCACGACGCAGACCAGTACAATTGGGCCTTGAACAAGTGCAAGTGGAGCGAGGTCCCGATGCCTGCTTTAAATAATTCCGTACACTGTCTCCTGCCCCAAGGAGCATGGAAGCAGACCTCGTGAGCGATCCCTCAAATCCTTCCACAGAACTCAAGCCAGACTATTCCCTTGCCCGGTCCGATCGTGTAATTGATATGGAAACCGCGCGTCCATGGCCGAGAGGCTCCATCAAAACGAAGCGGAGTAGATCGCTCGACAATAGCTACGG